TTTCGCCATTCAATGAAACATTATAATTAATCACACTTGTCACTTGAGTATCATTAAAATATCTATATAGTGCTCATCATGCTGCTGTTAGACCCATGAAAGAACAATTTGATGAATTTGTGACGGCGATTGAAGGCTGTCTGTCACAGGTCTTCTTGGGGTGTCATATGTCACACGTAGAGGATCTTTAGATGTCTCTTGAGGAACTTTTAATATCTCAAGAAGTTCTCGTGAAGCCGGAGATTCTTATGTAGATATTATCACTAGATCTAAATATATCTTTAGAGATTCAAATAACGAAGAGACTTCAATTCAAAATACAAAACTTGAAGTCGAGAACTGGGAATCACTTCCATATATACAAAATGTACAAATAAAACTGCATCACATGTATATTTTCTTCCGAGCTCGTTACCAAATAAAATTGAAGCAAATATTTTAATTCTACCACTGAGATTTATGCAACTTGCATCTTTGAATAACCATTTAAACAACTCTTAGTACACAACCTGTCTCTATGAAATCTTCTCCACAACTGGCGCTCAAACCCGCTCCAACCAATCATCGTAATTCTCAGGTGATAGCCATGCCACCATTGTGCGATCAGATGACGTCATGGGATTTTCCCGTCTCCCGAAACATCTAGAAGAAAGGCGGGGCTAAATACTAAGGTTACTTTTTGGGAGAGTTAAATTTAGATTGGTTCCGCAAGGTTGTCATTGCCGGAAGTGGTAATGGATGTAAGCACTCGAATACCTATAAAATGCTTCCTATTGGCACGCGTCTCAAATTGCCTCTGACAACCAGTTCAACTCCTGGCCTTCACGTGTGGCTCAGATATTGAGTCCGGCGGAACTGTTCTCACTAACAGGAGAAGGGGCAAAGTCGAGTAACTGGCGCCTTAACCAGTTAGCTTCGGGCAGGAGGGGCTCGTTAGCCATGGCTGGCTACCCACCTAGGAGAAGGAAAACTCTGAATTCAAACCTCTGTTGCCTTGCAGCTTAACCCAATCATGGGAAAGGCTTCGGGAGTCAACCCTGAGGAAAAATCAGGAGCTGCAGTTTGCTACACTCTGGCAGAACCTGCGACGCCGCTGACCCCAAACTGTATCGGCACTGCCGTTCCTTTGGATACATCACCTGCTTGGGGGGGGGGGGGGGGGGGGGAATAATGTTTTGGGCGACATCGTTCCGACCACAGCTAATGCCCAGACATTTATCTTATTTCCATGAGATGATCCAAAGTCGCTTCGCGACTAAAGGAGGCCATAGGCTAAATTTAGATTCAGCTAGACTGATACGTGACGCTGTCGGTGAATACATGTATACCTATTATCGCTTTACTTTTTTTTAGGCAGATGTACTGGGAAATATGTCAACACTACATAAGAGTAACTTCAAATTGAAGAGTTAACTATTGACGTAGTGGTGTTTAAGCTAGAACCCTTGAACGTTTTCTCTACAATATGCCTATCCGTCGCTTACACATAACAGTATAATTGAAATTACTCTTTCTTAAAAATATGCCTGTTCGTCGCTTACACTTAACACTATAATAGAAATTAAAATCATCTTACAAATATGCTTATCCGTCGCTCACAATGAAAACTATAATTAAAATTACTCTTTCTTAAAAATATGCTTGTCCTTACACTTAACATTATAAAAGTAGTAAAGTTCTCCTTTCAGACCTTGTGGTCTATAGCAGCGGTTCTCAACCTGTGGTCCGCGGCCCACTAGTGGTCCGCGGACATTTGCCTGGTGGTCCGCGAGCAAAACCCGAATTGCATGCTTTTTAAAAAATAAAAAATATGAAAAATAATAGAATTAAAGACATGAAAAAGAATATATGAAGTCAGTTTTAAAATTATTGATTTTAAATCGCTAGATGGCGATAGCGCAAAAGTGCGTTACGATTTTATGTTTACTCTAAGTATTAGTTACACCGGAAATCAGATTGGCCTTGGCGTCTTCCCGTTTATATTGACATTCAAAAATACGCTTTTTTATTTGAAAACTAATCAAAATAATTAAATTGATTGAACACATGGATAAATTTTTAATAAAGAAAGCAACCGAACATAAGGACAACGATGATGATTTCTCTGACTCATCTTCACAACCTGAGTGTGAATCAAATGCAGTTCCTTAGAAAAAAAGACGAACTCCCATACGACAGTATGATGAAAAGTATTTGCGCTTTGGGTTTATATGCGTCTTAGTAAATAATCAACCCAGACCACAGTGTGTAATATGTTCACAAATTCTTGCAAATGAAGCGATGAAACCTGCGAAACTCCGAAGACATCTTAAAACGAATCATACTGACTGCTCGGAGAAACCATTGGAATATTTTATGCGCAAGAAACATTCCCTTGGTATTCAGCAGTCTTGCATACTCCAAGCAACTAAAGTCAATGCGAATGCTTTAAGAGCATCAGTTTTAGTGGCTATCCGAGTTGCACAGGCCAAAAAGCCTCACACAATTGCAGAAACTCTGATAATGCCTGCTGCTATAGATATGTGTCGAGAGATGTTTGGTGATGCCTTGGCAAGTAAACTGAAAACAATTCCACTTTCAAACGACACAATTCAACGACGTATAGCTTTGGCGGCAGCTGACGTTGAAGAACAGTTGATTTCAAGGCTGCAAGATTCTAAACAATTTGCTATTTAATTGGACGAATCAACGGATGTTTCCGGCCAGGCACAATTAACGGCTTATGTCAGATATATCTGGATGGATGAAGTTGAAGAAGATTTTTTGTTTTGTAAAGCTTGTCCAGGTCACACAACAAGTGCAGAACTTTTTGTTATCCTTGATAATTTTATGGCAGCCAATGGCGTCGAATGGTCCTGGTGTATCGGAGTGTGCACGGATGGTGCTGCAGCAATGACTGGAAAACGAACAGGCTTGTGGGAACGTGTGCGTTCTAATGTGCCAACTGCCACATTTACGCACTGTATGATTCATCGGGAAAGTCTTGCGAGTAAAAGAATGAACGCGGACTTGAAATCTATTTTGATCAGGCCATAAAAATTGTTAATTTCATCAAGGCTCATTCATTATGTTCGAATATGGATTTTGATCATGAGCAGTTACTGATGCACACTGAAGTTCGCTGGTTATCAAGGGGAAAAGTGTTTAACAGACTGTTTGAATTACGTGATGCTGTGAGAGAGTTTCTTGTTAGTAAAAATTCACAACTTGTTGTTCATTTGAATACAAATTCATGGGTTGCTGTTCTGGCTTACTTGGCCGACAATTTTGAACAGCTGAATAAACTCAATTCATCTATGCAAGGGAAGCACACAAACTTAGTAACCCTCAGTGATAAAGTGTCTGCTTTTACGAAAAAACTTGCTCTGTGGAAGACAAGATTATTTCAGGGTAACTTTCAAATGTTTGATTAATTGCATGAATTCACCGAGAAACCAGAAAATGCTGAAATCAACAAGCCCGAGTTGGTGAAATTAATTTCTGAACATGTTCAATCATTGCTGGATCAATTTAACTTCTACTTTGGTGATTTGAACGTTGAGAGTTTTTCGTGGGTTTCCAGTCCGTTTCTTGCACACATTGATTCATTATTTACCATTTACCATACCAATTTACCACCATCGGAATTAACCCAATTCATTGAACTGACCAGTGATACTACGTTGAAGATGATGCATCCGAGAGTGAGCTTGATGAAGTTTTGGACACAAGCTTCGCATGAGTATCCAGAACTGTCTCAGAAAGCTTTCAAAATAATTTTACCCTTTGCAACATCATATGTTTATGAATGTGGATTTTCTGCACTGGTTACAATTAAAACAAAATATCGAAGATGAAATCCCACTGAGTCTTTCAAGCATTACACTTCGTTTGGACAAGCTGTGCTCATATTTGCAAGCTCAAGGCTCGCACTAAAATTAAATGTAGCATTGTTTCTAATCCGAACTATTGTTAGCAGTAAGACTGATATTTGTTCATTACAAAAGGATGAAAAGGTTGAAACATTTATTAAAATATATAACAAATGATTTTAAATATCAACTTTATATTTTTTTTTATAAAACTATATAAATTTCTAGTGCGCCAGTAGCAAAATTTTTAGTAGTGGTCCGTGGCTGAGACACACATTTTTAAGTGGTCCTTGAATCTCAAAAGGTTGAGAACCGCTGGTCTATAGGGCAGATGATGTATAGGTTCTGTTTCTGTGGCCTACGGTTTACGAGGGTGTGATGTCATACTTTACTTATAATTACTCTATCTGTCTGTCGTTTACATTTAACACTATAATTAAAATTACTTTTCTTACAAGTATGCCTGTCCGTCGCTTTCACTTAACACGGGCTTTAGTTGGGGTATTACTGATCTAGTGGACTGGATTTAGATCTATTTCAAACATGCCGAATGTTCATTTATCAATTTTTTTTTTTTATTTTGCCACGAAAATGAAAGTAGAGTACGGAAATTGGTTTACCAGTTGAGCCGAAATATTGATATCAAATTTAAAATACTGTGAAAAAGTGTTTACTTGATTTGTTAAAAAGTTTATTCCTTTAATAGCGATATATTTAGTTGTTTTTTTATTTTAAGGCCTTCAGGTTTTGGGTGGGGCATTAAGCATATACTACAGTCTCCGTCATAATCTAAGGAACATTTATGCCAAGTTTTTATCAAGATTGGTCAAACGATTTTGATTTCTACATACATACACACAAGCATACGCCTTACTTTTTACTTTATATTTTAGATATCAATCTGTCGGCTGAACTGGTAAACCCTTTTTCACACTCTACTTTCATTTTCGCGAATATAAAAAATATGAAGGCAACACTCGTCTTGTTTGACATAGATCTAAATTTAATCCACTAGATCGGTAATAACCAAACTAAGACTATCGGGCCGCGGGTCATATCCGGCTAGTATAACATATGTGAATGCCAAAGCACATTCATAGCCCGAAACCATTGAATAATACAATAACACAATTAAAGATAAGAAAGAAATTTAAAAAAAAAAAAAAATTTATTTTCAAGTACATGATAGAAAAGTTGACCATGGAACATTGGAACTCTTTGTTTGTAGAAGTTTAAGAAATGTGAAGTCATAGAAATAGATCTGTACATTTCGAAATCTCATAGAAAAAACATCATCATCAAAAAAGAAGGGAAAAAAAAACAATAGAACTAAACAATAACATAGCAACAAGCCGACACAACGTAGGCATGAGAAACATCTGGTTTAACAATCTTTATTCAAAGCACTTTAGTTTATGGGAAAAAGGTAAATGGGCCCTTGCCACGGTATATTTGCTCCATACATGTAGAGACAGACATTGGTTTTAAGACATATAAATTGTATAGACAGACAAATGTCTGACTGGATGAAAGCATTGGTAAGAAATATAGACATGAAATACATTTGTTTCATAGTCAAAACACGTTATAACAAAGTAATGTCTGTCGGCTTTATCTAGTTCAGTTTATACAACATCAACATGTATGTAACTTAGCTAAAAACAGGGCCGGATCTATGATTGTACAACAGTGCAGCCGCTAATGGCCTCTTTCTCAAAAGGGGTTCTTCACAAACTTTTAGAAAAAATAAAGTTAAACAAGTATGAATACTAATTAGAAGAAAACAGAAGGCGAATGAGATTAAATTGAAAAGGCCTCTAATGTGTCAACACCCTAGCGTTAATTAAGCCTTTTTTAGTGAGTAAAGGCCTCTACAAAAATGTTTCCCACGGCGCCAACTTACTTAAATCCGGCTCTGGTCAAAAAGAACTTCAAAAAAAAAAAAAAAAAAAAAAAAAGAGAAACAAGTCACTTTTACTTGCAATTTAATTTCGTCCTCATCTTTCCATTCCCTCCTATAATAAAATATCGAAACCATTTCTGACAAGATTTTACAGATCTGTGTATCTATGCAAGCCAAACTGATAAAAAAAATATTTGAAATCTAACAGTTTAATTTTAACATTGTGACCAAAAATGAATTTAATAGGTACAACCATTGGTTGATCTGCACTGTCGCCCATTGTAGTTGGCGGGGAATCTATAAATCTATAAGTACAAATATAGTAAACTGCAATAGAGATCATTAATGACCGGAATTATTGCTATGGACTAGTGCCCATACGATGGTGGATTAAGATTTTCTAAATCAAGAACCAGTATTTAATGTAATCTTTTGTAGGATCTATTTTTTTTTTATAAGGATTGATGTGGACAAATTGTCATAACGTCGAGTTATATGATCATACTTATCATTACGTTAATTCTTGTCTGAAGTAAAATGTCTACGTAATTAAATAATGATTTCGACAGACTTTCGAGCAGCCGAAAATACACTCTGCAATAAGCGAAAGTTTATTTCATTATGTTTAGATATCTGCAATTACAGAATATTCAACAACATTACAACTATCAAATATTTTAATGAATGTCTCGTTTAGTAGACGTAATTTCAAAGTTTATTGCCTCTTCATTCACACCCACTATTTTTAAAAAATTGACATTCATCCAACAAATGTTGATGGACTTTTAAGACTCTTAGTTGAAAAGTATTGAGATTTTTTGGGGAATAATTTACAGAATTTTAGCTTTTCAGATCGCTTTTATTCTCTGAATAAGACAAAATGGACAATTACACAAGATCAAAAAGATTTCGGTGAGGCATGTGTGTATATATATAGATCGAGCTGGTCGTCACTATAAATATTAAAACTTACATTAGGCAAAGAGGAGTACATAAAGGTAACTGGTACCAACATAAATAAATAAAAGAGATAATTTAATTTTTATTTTTCACATAAAAGAAACTTTTAGAATCACGGAACCAACAACCAAGATGTAATAAAGGAAACTTCTTTTTAAAAGGATTGTGTTAGGACTAGATCCATATTACATTAAAGTGCATGCCTTTTATAAACGTCTTACGATCTTCTATTAGGAAAAGTTCGGATATTAGGTAACCCCAAAAATCGCCCCTTTTTCGCCACGCTCCCCTACCCCATTTGTAACAAGTCGTACCAAGACTCAATACCCACACCCCTCTTTAGAGTAACATAACTAGAAAATTCGAATTTGCCAAAAGATTAAATTTAGTAATTATCATTTTTACATGTCACATCTTTGATCATGATATTGATAGAAATGATGATAAAAGTATCTAACTCTTTCAGCGTTTTGATGACGTATTCAGTTCCCCCACCCCCAATACTGTCCGGTCTGACCCCGAAACCAGTGATGTTCAAAGAAAAATTTTGAGTACTTTTTCTATTAATGTTTTTTGAAACCCCTTGGTGAAGCCCTCCCTCGAGAGTCAGACCAGCAAAAGTCAAGGTTCCACTGTACTTATTTCGTTTAAATATTTTTATTTTGTTTTGTTACGTTACAAATCTTAAAAGCCCCTTCCTTTTGTAACAAAATTGTATACCCTTCCCCATGTAGACGTTACATAATATTCGAAAGTGCCCATATATTGTCTGCTGGTTATGTATATCCGTGTCACAATTTATTACAGGGTTCAAATAGATAAGTTTTTAAGTTATAGAAAAGCCCTAATATAATTAGCACAAAAAGATAACACTATTGAAGATACACGGTCGTTATCTGTCTACTTTATTTCACAATCTATAGACATTCCTTCAGAAAATAAAATAGTTACACCCTAGTCGTTTCCGTGTGTTAATCTATGCTTGAATGTTGATTAGTAGCTTGACTCTACCAAGTCGTTAGTTTTCCTGCCTGTTTCAGGCAACCCGTTTCATGCTCTAATGGCAGTAGGTAGAAGAAAAAGCCTAGATTTCATGAATTTTAAGCCACTTTTATTTTCTTGTACATATTTATAAAATAGGATCTATCTTCTTTTATTCCTTTTGATGTGATCACCTACTTTTTAAACAAAGTCTCTTGTAACAATAACGCAAAAGATAATGTTGGCTTTAACAAATGAAGTGTCCAATGCATTTTACGCTATTTAAAGGTTAATATATGTTAGAGATGAGTTGATATAGGTCCAGATCTAGATCTAAATGCTTAGAGACTTAAAGATCTTTTGTTTTAGAAAAAAAAATCTGTACAAATTGATTCTTACTTCAAGATGGATACGAAAGGTCTAAAAATAGATTGGCACGTATGAATATATAGGTCTGTGAATGGTGACAATTTCAATTAAAATTAAAGCGTTATTTCGAAATAATTCCATAGTATAACATGAAAGCGTAAAAGAAACTATTAGTGATCTTCAATTCTCTCAGGGGTGAAGAGCTACATCCCAGAAATATTTGACTTCCGTTTTCTTTTTCTCTAATGGAGATTTCTTACCATAAAGCAGAGGTTCTCAGCCTTTTAAGCTCGGCGACCCCTTTTTACAATCCCCCACTCTGCAGCGACCCCCCCCCCCCTACACAAATACAGAATTGTAGGGTAGACAATAACAATCCATTTTTTCGATGGTCTTAGGCGACCCCTGGCAAATGGTCAATCGACCCCCAAAGGGATCGCGATCCACAGGTTGAGAACCCCTGCCATAAAGTAAACAATGTCAAGGAAGCTAAATTGAACCTATAAATTGCCAACTAAATAACAGTCAGGAACAGATGAGGTTTCAAAAATGCAATACTGCAATGCTAAAATTGCATACCTATTGTCACGTAACTTATTAAAATTAAAACTTTATATTGTACCGGATACACAAAAAGCTAGCTATTTTTTAGTATTTATGGTTTTACTCCATGGATAAAAATCTCTGATTTAAAAAAAAACAAAACAACTTTTCAAGATGAAATCTTTTTAAAAAATTTGGATCAATGTCTGGTGTAGATGTAATATATCTAGGTGAGTGATTTAGAGCTAAACATAGTTGAATATTTGTATTGGTACGAAGGAAATCATGACAAAGTTGCAAGTGCTAATCACATAAGGCGAAGCCTGAAAGGTCAAACACAAGGAACACGTATGAATATGTCAAAGTCTATCACCTCACAGTGTAAAGCACAACATCAAACAGGGTTAACAAATACCTGAGAAATAAAAAGAATTTCTACAACTGCAACAATTGTAATAATTACATACTGTATTTTCTTTTGCTTTCAAATTATTAAGACGACAACGGCGTATATTTAATAAGAATATAATCTAAATGTTTATTTACAGATTGATTCTAAAATGATTAGTTATAACAAGAGGTTAGGGTTAACAAGTTTGTATGTTGTTTTGCTTTGTTTTTTCCCTAAGGATTTTAAGGGTTAAGTATAACTTGGAAATGTTTTGTCTTACAAACGAGAAGTGAGCTTATACATTGTTGACATTGGACAGTGTGACAAGAGATGTGACATACATGACGGTGTAAGATGGCGAAATGGATGATTCATATCAATGTAATGCTGAGGGAAATAACAGATGATGTTAAAAACACGATTAGAAATGTTAGTGTCAGTGTATATGTGAATCATCAAAACAAAACATCATGGCATGTAATGAAAGTATTGATGTACGAGTGAATCAAGGCTATGAAACATTGATAACAGTTGACAATAGTGAATAAACCTATCTTCTAATTAACTTAGAAAGTGTGTGTGCGTGTGACATTTAAGATTCTAGAAACGGCAGCTTTCAATATAGAAACCATAAGATATAATTACATGTGTGATATACAGTTATGAATGAGTGTGTGTTGTTTGTAGTGATCTCTCTAACAGGGGTGGCCTCCACAGACTAAAAGCATTGAAAATATTGTATCAAATTTCAAATATAGCAGAGCACTAGGGCTCTACGTCTACTAGCCTAGATCTAAGTCTCTACTATGACTCAATGTTTATTGACAAATGGGTTAAATTTATTTGTTAGACTACTTATGGTAGAATACCCTTGTTGTTTTTTTTTAATTTGAGGCCACTGAATTCACTTTGCCTAGAGCCTTCAATTACCTAAGGCCGGCCCTGCAACAAACACAACTAAATAAGCTTATGAGCATCTGGAAATTAGTGTGTATCATTGGTGAAGTGTCTTTGCAGACTTCTCAGCATGAGTTTATCATTCAAGACACATTACTGATTCATTGATGTTGTGAATGACAGTATAGTATTGTGACAGTGTGATATTGTAAAAATGTAATTGTGAGTTTCAGTGACAACAGGAAAAAATTTTAATTTCTAATGACAGCACAGGATGTGAAACTTAGTGTGACAGAAACATAATGTTTCCTTAAAAAAATTTGGGGTAAATTTGGGCGTATACCAAATGGACAGAGCCTGGCTATATAACCTGCTGTAACACTTGTGTCAAGATTTTAACACGTGGGACCTGCTAATGAGACAGTATGAAGTACACTTAGAAGAGCACACATCAACAATGTGGATCGGTGACTAATGACATAGAAATACATCCTTGTAAACACATCATACAAACAGAAACAAGTTTTGTAACATTCCCTAAATTAAAGAATGAAACATCTAATCATTATTTTATTAATGAATTCATTTTGTATAGTTATGTGGTTTTTGTTTTTCAAATATAAAACTGTAACATTACCAAAGAAATACAAACAAACCAAGGCGAAATTTGTACAAAGCTTAGAGGCATTGGTTTTAAGAATGTACATAAAATCATGTTTAGAGAAGATCTAAAAAAAACATAATCCTAATGTTAAGGCTAGAAAAACATGAATTTCACAGGAAAAATTCAAAGCACGATTTTTCACAATCTCTTTCTAACAATGCAACTTCTATAAGGGGGTTCTTAACCTTTGGGGACTTCTTGACCAAAAATTAACCCAGAAATCTTAAAAGGAATAGTGCTAAATATTTCTTAATTTTAATTTAGACCAAATGTATAATAACTTAGAAACAAATACAAAAAAAAAGATCAGTTAGATTTAGTTACACCCTTAATGAAATGGGGTGCAGGCACTCCGATTAAGAACCCCCTGCAATATCGTATTCGATATCAATCATAATAAGTTTAAACATTTAGATTAACATCTAAAATATTTAGTTATATATTAGGTACGTATGTATCTCCATAAACACACACAAAAATCACGGTATAATAAATAACTAATTCTGCATCTGAAATGTATGATTTGTTTGTAAAATCTATATACATCAACAATATTTTTTTTTCATAATATACATTTGCATACATTAACAGTTTCATATCTCAAGAGTGTAGAGACAAAAACATAAAAATGGAACAAATCATTACGTCAGTTTGTCGAATAGTTGGCCTGCAACATAGGTTTTAAGATACCAGCCTGTCTGGGTGTAAATAAAATAAGTAGAAAGGCTTCATTCATTTGTTGTATTTTGCGCACACACACACAAATATCAACAGATTATAGTTTGGACAACGATGAAGCAGGGTTTGTTAAAGAGGACACTTTCAGTAAAAGAATGTCAGGTCTAACAGGATGAAGCAAACACATTATCATAATATTTTTTTAAGGTTCAAAGTTACATAGACGTATAAGCCTCTTTTTACTTGTTTTCAGTCCGGATTGACACGACCCATAGCAACGCCACTGCAAAGTAAACACTACACTTATTAAAGAAAAAAAACAATCTTTCATGGCGTAAAGTTGACCAGCTAAAATGTTGACATTGTAGAAGCTTCACGACAGTAAAAAATAATTTTTAACATTAAATTTAGGCATTTAGGTTGCAACCTATATCGTGTTCGAATGTTTTTAAGTTATGCATAGTAAAGAAAAAGGAGAGAAGGCACGTTGCGATTACACAAATATCAGGACGTCGACAGAGAGAGAGGATAAGAGAAACTGTGGGACTTTTCCAGAAAAAAAAATCCAACCTGCATATTGTGCCATTAACCTTATATTATTTCAAAATTATTAGGATAATCCTAAATATCAAAAGAGAATAAAAAGCATTATCATTCAGCCATATCTAGCTTTGTGCGTGAAAATAGAAAAAAAAAAGAGAATTATTTCCCTTTATGTAAAGGTACCCTGCTCCTTGCACACACATTTAAATTGAGAAAGAAAGAAAAATTATGTTAGCCATTTTTTTTAAAAGAAGAGGTGGGGGGGAGGGGGGGGGGGGCTGTTAGGAGAACTTTAAAGGATTTTCATAGAGATCTAGAAAAAGTTTAACTATATTTAAGACACCCTTATGATTTATAGACTTTCTACAGATAAGTGACTTAATGTTGTATTTTGTTCTTTTATTGACCAATAGATTGAATTACATTTAACCGAAATGACAGCAATATAAATGTAATGTAGGTCTATTTTACAATAAAATCCAAAACTAATGCCACTAAAATAAATATTTTAGAAATAATTATATTGTTTAACCACTACATAGAGACCACCAGTTTGTATGTGAAAAATTATCCTTGGTCTTTATATTATTTTAAATATAACATGTCATATTTTTTCTAGGTCATAATGTCTATACATAAAGTTTACAATTTCGGTAGGCTTAACTCTTCAAGACCGTAATGACGCTGACAGCGACCATCTTCCGGCCGTGCTAACGTGATGACGCTTCCAGCGTCCAATCACTATTTCCCTGTTTACTTCTTTTTCTTTTCTAATCCATGTTTTTAAACCCTCAAATGGTTTAAGGAAACGCTAGAGCGGCCATTTTGAAAGTTTTTTCCTTCTGATACCTTGTTGATCTAAGCTGTTTTATTGTTCTAAATATTTTTTTTTGTAAGTGACTAGTGAATTTTTCGTTTTTTTTTGCATCAGACATCATGGCTGACAGGCCTTCTTGCCGTTTTACTGCTGATCAGGCTCTAAATATCTTTTTAGATACGAATGATAGTGACATGAGTGACTTAGACTTAGATAGAGGTTCTAGAGCTAGAAAGTTATAATGAAAGCGATTTTCAGACTCAAGCAAGTCTGATAGTCAATTATTCACCCCTAGATCTAGTAAATGTAGTAAACAAAAGGGGGCGTCGCCCCAGCCAGGCCCTAGTAGATCTAGAAAGAAACCTCACTTAAAGTGTAAATATTGATCAAGTTTGACAAAGTTATGTTTTTTAAATAGATAATTGGATAGAGTTTAATATTTCATACAATAATAATGATTGAGGACTGTTGGAATATTCTTTTTTTACTTGGGAAAGTCAGTTTTTAAAGATCAAATTAAAAAAAAAAATGTTTCATCTCTGAAATTACCTTTTTTTTTTTTCCAGTGACTATCTATAACATTGAAAGATAAATTATCTTGTAGTACATTCAATTTCCAACAAAATTTTATATAACATGTCTATGTTTTAACAAACAGAAAAAACAGTATGACGTTTATAAAAAGGCTTATGTGATAAAAATTGTGGGGAAAAAAAATAATTCCGGTAGAATGAGAAAAAAATTACGGTTTTTAAGAGTTAATACCTAGATATAACAGGAAAGTGATTTTTAACAAACAATTAAAAGTCTTTGTTAATGCGAGAGAGTAATGTACACTCGTTTGAATGACACTGTCAAAGTACACGTGACCAAGACAGGAACACTTCCGGTTTGACGTGATGTGCTGGTTCCAGTAGGTCAGGTGATGTCTTCGTGCCCGCGTGTCGGCCACGTGGGTCAGTACGAGTTTTTAGGCCTCGCGTTATTTTGATTCAGCTCATGTTTTCTGTGGTCATCTCTCTGTGGACGAAATTGGGTACAGATTAAAAGCAACACGCTGATTATAACAGGTATAATGTGCTAGGTGATGAAAACAGTGGATATAAAATTTGAACTGCATCAATGAGAATGATGAACGATTAGAGTGTACATGATATTGACATTTAGTTAGTAGACCAAAGGCTTTCTCAATTATTCATTTGCACAAAAAGAAAAAAATTAAAAATTTTAAAAATCCAATCCATTTAATATAATTTCATTTCAAATTTACAAATTCCAATTGGTTGCCCCTTAAGAAATAGGCTATTAAAAGTCTTAAATTTAAAAGCTATTTTTTAAGGGCACTAGACCTAATAATTTACTCACCCAGATTTTTTGTATTTTAGTCAATGCATATATATTTATGTTTATAAACAAAAGTTATACTTTTGTGGAGAAATATTATTATAATAAAGGGGATACGATTGTGATTGTTCTTCAAAAGTCCTTTTCTTTCTCTCGTACTGAAGAAAAGAATTCTACAATTTTAGAAGTAAACACCATGTTATTAAAACCTATAATATACTGAAATAAGTTGGATTTTATTAAATTCTTCATAATTTCCTTTTGTATTAGCATTTATATTTATCAGAGGAAATATCTATGTTTTATTTTTGGTGTATTTTGAAGTGCAAATGTTTATTTTCCTAAAAATAAAGAAATATACTCAGAAAAGACTAAAAATTATTCAAGCACGTAACAGAAATGAAATGCAGCAATCCTAAAGTTACAGCATTAAGTTATATAAGACATTTTGGACACTAATCAAATTATACTTCCACAATGTCTGTCAAAGACTTCTCTAGAATATAAAGAAAGAGGACTAAATTATTTAGAAAAAAACAAAAAGTATTCTTAAATATTCTTCCCTCCCCCAATTTTCCAATCACGACCGTTTAGTTCACACATGATGTAAATTAAAGAGGTTGCAAGCGCCATTGCATAAAGCTACCGCCTTGACCTTCCCCCCCCCCCCCCCCCCCAATAAACAGCAAGGACTTAGCTGAGACCTTTGACCCTGAGTCAAAAGTCATCCCCTTCCCCCTAAGGCTCAGAATATTAAAACTAGAAGCTTAATACAAATAAGAAATTAAAACCAAAATGTAGAGTGTCAATAGCTACAAGTGAAGTTCATTTTATATACATAGTCGTCCAATGTTTATACTTGGTAATGATTTGTGCTACCAAAGTACTAGTTACAATAAATTTTAACAAGCAAAATATAAGGGAAAGAACTGTACACATCTTTCACATCTATCAATAGTCTAAGGTTTATTTCCCCTTTTCTATATCAAACATAATTAACTAACTACCACTAATTAATTGATTAACTGATTGATCTTTTGATTGATTTGTGTTTTCTAACGGGCGATGAATAATTGTGAAAAGTTTCACCTTGATCTGAATACTAATGAGAGGGAGAAATAACGTGTCAATACTTGTACCAGACAGAGAGACTGAGTTGAAATAAGCTTGGTAAAATCTGAATATAATTAAGCAAAATCATGGTCTATAATTAATTTGTTAATAAGAAACTTTTTGTATTTAGCCAGTAATAATTTCAACAGTCATAATGGATGTAGTTGTTAAAAATAATTGGTTATTTGAATTAAGATTGTTTTCAATTTAGAACTTAGCCAACCGAAATCTATGCTCATTCCGTTACTTGTACGTATTAGTCTTTGCCTAAGGAAAAATAAATTAAAGTTTCTGGATATATTTCTATGGAGCTCTATATCAATTAGTCCTAGCCTGAGGAAAAATAAATTAAAGTTTCTGGATATGTTTCTATGAGTTCTGTATCAATTAGTCCTTGCATAAGGACAAAGTTCTATATTATCGCCATTAACCCAAGGGGCAAACCAAGTATAACGCTTATCACATGATTGAACAAAATAAAGCTTTTGGTCTACTAGTGAACTGAATGTAAAATCCGTCTTTAAGCAATGAGGGGTTTTGAATTTAAAAACATATTAAAGATATAATTATTATTTCTTTGTATTGTAAACATTTAATACTACATTTTTGTTACTTTGTTATTAGAAATATAAAAACAACTACTATATTTGTTCATTGCGGAATGGAAGTGTTTGTTTCTGAGACAAGTTACCTCTGTCAAACCTTAGCTGTTTATCAGACCAGGTAAGTCAGCTGAGATGGTTTTTGTGAGGGTTAACATTCTGCGTAATGCTGGCTGCGATGGGGTATGCTCCCGACGGAGCTGAAAATTATCATTTGGAGGAGTTTTAAGAGTTAAAAGCGTGCGTGGAGAGTTAAATGTGGAATGGAAAGAAAAAAAAATCTCAAATAGAATTCAACACCTCGCATGGCACAAGACGGTTGCGAGTCTGGTAAAAAAAAATGGACATAAACACTGGGACATTTCACTTGTAATTCAACAAAACACAATGGGCGATATGGACTGCAGACACATGGGTTGTCAAACTCGGCATGACCTGACCTGTGGACAACCCTTCGGACTGTGATATGATATGTTGAAAGAATTAATTCCGAGAGTGTTGAAATTTCAAAAAACACTTTGTCTCAAAGAAGTCTAAATAAATAAATGATAAATAAAAATCCACCTGCCAACTTTATAATTATAAAATTTCCTGATTGCTTGGCTGTATAATCATTAGACTATCTATAATTATGGTAATCTATTTAGTAAAAAAAAAACACTCTAAAATGTGTCCAATGTGTTTTTTTTACGTATACAATTGTAAGATAATTCTTTAAGCAAGATTTTTACTAATATTTACAATTTGGAAACAATTTGGAAAATGATTATCAAAAAAAAAAAAAGGTTCCAAAAGAAGTTCAGATTATATTACTTGTATTTTTGTTATGCACAGTTAGCACATTTTGTATAACTATTTTAAAAAAATTGATAGCACCTCGGAATTTATTTAACCTCTTGTTTTCTCCATTTCTCTAAGCCACATTTGAATTTCTATGTGTACAGATACGAAGGTGATATGTGACATATTGAATAGTGATATTGAACTTCCACATGATCATGTGTCAGGCTCCATTTTGTAACATAGTATCTGTGCTAATAATAGAGTACTCAAGGGGACAGCACTGTGCTATACACTCAGCGTGATATAAATAGAAGCAGAGAAATAGAAGAGTACCTACGTTAATTTGTGTGGGAATAAATATTTATTATCTCAATTTTAGAGTTTCTCCGCATAAGTTCGTCTTTGCAAGCGCTGGACAGAGAAGTGTATACAATAATTACATAAAGCACAGCAGAAATAAAAATATGTTAAAATAAGAATTTAGTCGGGGGGAAAAGCTTTTGGCTAAAAAAAAGGTGGGGATTAAAACTGAAAAGAAATGGATCTCTTTGCAACGAGTCAAAATATTTATTTAAAAAATTCTCAACTAAAGGGGGAGATAAGGAGAAAAGG